CTGTGCACGTAATTGAAAATTTAAAGGTAATCTATAAGGGATGTATCCGCCATTTTTTTCTGGAAAAAGGCAAATTTCTCCCATTCACAAATCATTGCTTGACTCGTCCTTGCACTTGGATTTGATGTTTTATTCCAGTGTTTTAGTTGTAAATAACAGGGCAGTCATTTAGAACGCCATTTCTTTCTGCATATATCAGAAGTAACTTTTGACGTCAGGTGCTCGTATTTGTAGGGTTATATATTTTTTAAGGTCGGAATTCGGAAAGATTCGTGTATGATTAGGATATGTAGACATAGGAGGTGTAACTCTGCGAATATTTTAAAGGCGTAGGCCTACTGTGTACTTTTAATGTTGGAAACAAAATAAAAATATAGGCTGTAACCAATATGAGACAAATATTATGGAGATCTTATCCTAAGTTGAAAGGGGGGTGGGGGGTGATTTTCATTTGAGCTATTACACCATAGATTTTACATTAAAATATCTAGGTAAAAATCAGTCATATTTCATAACCAGATATCTCTCACCTCGTCACTGAAACAGACAGCAGCAGGCGGCCTGCCAAAATAGGTATGTCTAGTGATAAACAAGTATGAAAAGCATCAAATATTTAAATTGCAAAGTTTTATTATAAAACATTAAAAAAGATATGAATGAATTTACAAATAACTGCAATGGGGTAGTTAAATGAGGGGATGGCCTGAGAATGTTTTTAATGTTACGCCCGCTAAATACAGGTTCAGTGGCCGGCTCCACACTGAAAAAAGTTTATTATACATTGCACCTTTTTAGCCATCATATTTCAGAAATTTGAGCTTTGAACTTCAAACATTTTTTAGCATCCCATTTGAAAATTATTTTGAACAAAGTCTAAATTCATTTGAGAGTTATCAGTAGAATGCACATCTGGGGCCTACCTATTTTGGCAACGCATATATTTTGGCAGGACACATGTAGGCTACCATCGTCAACTTCTTGCTGGTTCTCCCTAACTCGACAAAGCGTCGTGCAAAGAACCTCGACCACAGAGGCTCGTTTATGACTTTTTTTGTAAATGTAGCGCCGTGATCAATACAACGGAAACAAGAAACATAAACCATCGATTGACAAATGGCATTCAGCTGATACCACGTTTACATCATAGAACAAACAAGAACATTTCATAACTTGTATAGGCAATATGTTGCCTCATAATCGGGTATATCAGCTTTAAACATCATTTTTGACCAACAAATGTATCGCGACCCAAATGATAACCTATATTGATAAAAGCATGCTCCCTGCCATCAACCTGTGTCCAATTAAGGAGAGCGCACGCAGTTCCACCAGACACTACCAAGGCTGCCACCACGATTGTCTTATTAGCGAATTGGCAGCTTAAGCCAACTTATTTCCTGTTGTTGTTTGAACATTTTCGTAACATTTCTTTAATGAGCTGTCACGATTCAGGTCGTAGAGAAGCAAACGACTTAGAGTAGGTTATGATAAAAACAATGAAGAAAGAGAAAAAAAGGATGTCTTTAATTTGAGTGGTTCGAACTTCCGATTGGTCTGCCCGAGATGATAGGTGCGGTTTTACTCTATACACATTATCAAGATCACTCTACAACGATTAGCATATCGAGTGATTTATCATTAGATTGACATGTTTCGACTCTTTTCGCACGGAAGGTGATCAGCTAATGGAATTAAACTGTTTATGAAGAAATTCCAAGAAAGTTCTCCATTGTATAACTTACTTAACATTGTCCAAAATCCAGTTTTTACAGAAAAATCCAAACCAAGTCGGAAAATGAGTATATTGCACTGCACAAAAATTTGTCAAAAGATAATGCGTACTGTACCTGGTTTCGAAATGCGTAAGAACCAAGCCAGATTTAATAACAATAATCACTTCGCAGAAAGGTTTAAACACGCTTCACAAGGCTGCATGACAGGCACTTTCTTGTTAAATTGATGTAAAGAAGCTATATGAAATGACAGTGACATTCAATTTTAGCAATTAAACCACCACAACAACTGTCCTCAGTGGAATAATACGGAATACTGACATTTTGGGCGATTATCTTGTATCTTATATTTAAAAATGTTAGGCCTACTTTAAGGAGAGGAGCACAAAAATTGCTAATTTTATAATATCCCATATCCTTCGACATCAACCTAACACATGGCCTGCACATCTTGTCAAGCTAAAAATACCCCAAATCTTAATCTGAAAATAATGACTTTTGTCTTAAGAAGAAATCTGTAACAACGTCGCATCAGTATTTAGGGAGTGTTTAATTGAAATCAAGGGGAAAAATAAATAATACACTTTTGCAAATGTTAATTTTGTAATTGATCTTACTTGCGCCATCTGTTATCGTTGGTTATCTTTAAAGTTATTACCATACCCACAATCACGGCATTTGCTACTTATCTACTACATCAGCTGAAAACCCAAGGGACTGACCTGCCTTAAGTAATCTCGTTCTGTTTCAATACTTCAAAGAATAACTTAGGTACTGAGCAAACTATCCTCTTATTGAGGGAAAATGAATTGCGATTCCATGGAGCCTAATAGCGAATCAACCAACCAAGCAAAGTAGTCATATAGCTTTAGTATATCAGGTTAACCCATTTTGTCGTTTTTTAATTACTTCATGTTGTTGAGGTTGTGGTACTGACAGGGTAATGGTTTGCACCTACGACTTCTTCCCATGATTTTCCAGCTGTTACAAAACGCGAAACTACGCAATATACTGAATACCATTAAGCTTGTAAAAAAATTGGCTTACTCAACAATATTTGGGTAGATTGTGCTGTTTATAAAATTACGTAGATTGGTCGAAGAATGAGAAAATACAGCTTTTGTTTGTGATGACTACCCTTGCTACATTGCGACCTGGTCGAGATGCGAGGTTCTAAAGTCTCTGAGTTACAAAATTCCGTTTAAAGTGGCTACCCTAAACAGAAGGAAGGTTATGCTTATTTAAAGACAAATAAATAAATAAAAAGATAAAAAAATAAAAATAAAAGTAAAATAAATAAATCAATGCATAAATAAATAAAATTAAAAAATAAAAAAACGACATTTTTTTACACTCGGATTTTGAACTAACATGATTTCTGTGGCGGTCACTCGATATATCGATATCTTTATGGCATCCATCGATATATCGATATATGGCATCCATCGATATATCGATGGATGCCATAAAGATATGTGATAAAAAATATTAATAAATTCAAGGGGATGAACTACGAAGGCAAAAGCACGTTTAGTATAGAGAGTTAACTCTGATATTTTGCCTCCTTTTCACACAGTAGACTTACAGTGATATGTACGGTGTACGCAGCACGGCTTGGGTGTTTACTGTAAGTAGGCTATATAATTGTTAGAGTGGAGGAACAAAAAACGCCACCCCAAAATGTCACGTTGTTTGTAGAGTTGGAATGGGACTATACACACACACAAACACACAGACACACACACACACACACACTTAAATATAAATAAATAAACACGAGACATGTGTGAACCCAAACTCTGAGTTTCACGGGCATACCCATAGGGTATATATCGTAACAGATCTACATTTTTTGCGTTTAACAGTACCTTGCGTAATAAGGGCAGATAATGCCATCATAGGTTCGATAATTGGTATTTCGATTCTATCGACGCAGATTACTCTTGTCGGAGAACAATAATCAGTATGTACGTAAGCAGTGTTGCAAAATGTAGATTTTGCGTGCAAAAAATGTGGTTTCTTTATCTTTTTATCAATAAGTTATGAACAAAAAAGAAAAAAAAAAAAAAGAAAAAAGCACTTTTTTTAAATCATGAAGACTTACCAATATGTAACGCTGTTGTTAAAAAGTGTTGGTTTTTGTGTTATGTAGATCTACGATATAATTGCATTTAGATTCACATCGCTACTAGAGGAAAAAACGTCATGTGACGTCATGCCAAACACGTTATTGAAATAAAGATGACGCATTTTTTGTCAGTGACGTCAAGCTTAACAACTGTTGTTGCCTGTCAAACATGGGAGCACGCATACAGAAATGTATGCGTGCGTACAGGCGCTCCGTTTTATATCGAATTTACAGGAGTGGCCCTGACGAATACATATGGTTAAAGTCGTTGATAGGGTTCCCATTTGGTTTGGCACTAGGAGCCGGTAAGTTTTTAAATTTTTTTGATTAATCGTTATATTGTGCACCTATTTTTGCGACCAATCTTTGTTTCAGGATGCTTGAATTACTTTCAATGTATTCTATACCCCTTCACTAGTAATTTCATTTAAATAGTGTCATACACTTTTTCAGGCCTGTATTTTGCCGTGGTAGACCGTATGCTTTTTGCAGACACTGTGCGATATGCACTTGGAGGAATGCTTGCTTTTGCTCTCGCAATGGGCTGCGCCATGTCTGTACAAGTTCGTTGCATTTCCGGGCTCGTCATTCCACAGTTTTTTGGGAAAGAAGGGCGCTCTTTCATTGGGACATTTGCCATCGCTTATCTCCTTACAGGTACGCTTATTTGAATTACCAAATATGATTATTCAATCATCATGTAATTCATCATATGTTTAAACTGTTATTTAGTGAACAAATCAAATCTATTTAACAGTTTAAAGTTTCTAAAAATGCATATATACATGTAGGCCTATTTATGGATGGGGATTGTTGGGGACTGTTGTTCAATAAGTACTAGTAGGCCTAATTGGTTGATGGGAAAAAATTACTAAAACAGCTATTCATTCATTACACAACAAATAATTGGCTGTCTAAGATTTTTATACCGGCTTTTTCTACATACAATTTTCAGGACCAATAGCCAACATCATGTTCAATGCAGAAGAAGTGACGAGAGTGATATCGTGCAGCACAGAGCTCATGATGAACCAGACAATGAAGAGAATGGATCTCAAGTTTCAGCCCATACACCACGCCCTAATGGATATGCAGAGGGAGTCGCTCCTTATCAAGAAAACCGCTGCTAAAATTAGAACCGCATTTAAACCGATTGAGACTGAGGTAAGACGAAAGCCTTCACGGTGGTCAGTATTCTGTGCTGTTATCACTAACTGCCATGTTGTAAAATACCTCAATCAAAAAGGTCTAAATGCTTTAATCAAAATAGCTTTTATCTGTCTTTTTATAAGAGAAAGGAGGGGGGATCTTCCGGGGAAGGGGCCGGGGCTCTTAAAAATCGAGACATTAGTGTAATGAACAATTCGTAAGCAAAGTTCGCTTTAATCGCTTAAACTGAACAAAAACATGTAACTTGGTCTTTGAACAAGCTGCGTGTGACATCGTATTACGCGATTATCTTGTATTTTTCATTTCTTTCCTTTGTTTATTTATTTATTTATTTATTTATTTATTTATTTATTTATTTATTTATTTCACTTTTAAAAAGCACTCTGGGTTTATGTGTATATCAGAAACGATGACGATGAGCGTTATATATTACGAGCAAAAAGGGAGTTGCCATTGGCACTTTAAAACATCATTGTCCTTAAAGGTGGTACCATACGGTATAAATGCCCACATCTATATAAAATACTTACCTGTTGATCCTAGGTCGAGGTTGATAAGGAATCAGGCGAGCTGAAAAGAAGAACGGACGAAGCAGACGTAGGATTCAAAGTTAGCAGAAGTCAAAGGATCGAAAAAAGTCACAAGATTAAGCCAGGGATGTCCAAGGGACAGGTGAAGGAAGAGAAATTTGAAAGAAAACTGGACTATAAATGCGAAGGTACACTGGTTTTCTCTGTTATTGTTCATAATGCGCCACGGTGTATCCAGAGGTGTCTCCAAAACCCAAACAAACAATCCCATTGATTTACTGAATACAACAATGACCAAATTATATTATAATCGGTCTGCTTGCTGATAATAATCTATGAACGTTTGTTTACACATTTATCTCTTTTGTGGCGATCTTATTTCCTCTAGATAAAGCTACATAGCTCTATTATTTTACAGATTTGAATGTATCAAATACTTCAAAGTATCTAATGTTCATTAAGTAGCGTGTATGTGTTTATACCATCAATCAATAATAGATATTCTAATTATTTTGAAAACCTAATCAAAGCTAAACACCAAGAAAGAACATTTTAACAAATGATTTTTGAGCTTATAAACGGACCTGTTATTTGATGTGTGTGTGTGTGTGTGTGTGTGTGTGTGTGTGTGTGTAGTTATTGCATTTGGTGTCTTCAACACCACTCAGTAATATTTGAATATGTTTAGACCTGTTATATATAAGATAATTATTTACATTTTTTTTACTTTTACATCTAGATATCTACAATGCTGGAATAAACTGGTGCAGAGGCAGAATCGATCAAGTTGTGACAAATTGCAAAAAAGCTCTTGACCCAATACCCCTGATCAAAAATCTGTGCGACTTGTTCAATCTTAAGTCACTGTGCGAAGTAATCAGATGTGAGTGTTAGTCGAATATATAGAAAGTCTAGCCATGCAATTGAGATAAACCGTTTGGTCGTCACTGTGACGATATAGGCCTATCTGTTTATTGAAAACAACATTAATAGTTCATACGTATAGCCTACTTCACTAAAAGTAATCAGTTCAATATCTTACATAAATCATTACATATTAACCAAGGTTATTTCTATACTTCCCAAAGGGATGCAGACATTTACTGGCATTGACTGTACTTCCATGGAAGAAGTGAATAAAGGTTTTGGAGATGGCTATGAAACAGCTGAAAGAGCAGCCAAAGAAGTTGATAAGAAATTCAACGTAAACATGCAATACAAGGTACAATGCATGGTGCTTTGTGATTAACATTCAAGCCTATGCATTTTAAAACAGGCTTTGGGATCTTATTTGGTGTCAAACATTTGTTATTGAAGAGCAGCCAACTCAAAAGCAAGCCGCTGCATGTGTTTCAATTTATAAGATAAAAATCTTTAAAAGCTTAGATAAAAAACATTGGCTCATAGTTGAATATTCACTTTTCAATGTTCCAGCTTTCGACTGGCGTGGAGAAACTGGAACAGATGAGTGCACAAGACGTCACGCAGGCCATAAAGTATGAATTTGAAAAACGCAAAACATGGTTTGACTTCATTACTTTGATGATCAAAAGAATACTCGCCTTCCTATTCATCCGGGTATTCATAGGGTAGGTAAAAGCAATAAGCTCCATGCATGTAGCTCGTATGAAAGAACCTCATTGGTTAAAGTCATATCCCGATAAACACACCATATTGTGACAAATGGGGACAACATTGGTATAACGTGTATCATAGCGTGGTACCAGCAGGGGGTTCGTATAATTCCAACCTACGCTGTTCGCTGGTAACATTGGGGACTAATACATAAACTTGAAATATAATAATCTAAATATCTACCCCTGTATATCATGACGTCTATACTCTATAGGTTTTTTTTACAGCATTAAGGACTTAAGACTGACTGGTTTAGCGATTGTTTTCAAGTGGGGAAGAAATCATCTCAAGCTGTTGCTTAACTAATCATGCAGCAAGACTGGCGTTTTTTCATTGTAAATTTCAAATCATGTATTCACTTTCAATTACGCCAATGTAGTAACTTAACCAAACAGTTGAATAAATGGCAAAGTAACATTATATTTCAGGGCATATTCCTACCACAAACGATACGTCAGTAACTTTGGCCACGACAACATTTACATTTCAAAATACTTCAAGAGTATAGACGCAAGAAGAAATAAACAGGTGCTCTTTTACGACAACTTTTCCTATTTTTTCCCTTTTTTTTCCACCGCAGTGTTTACAGTGCATAACAGTATAACGAGTCCATAACGGCATAACAGCTTCATAATACATTTTAAGCGGACAAGTTTGTTGTCTGTGATGCCAAAAATAACAAAAAAGTATTTTTTTCTAGAACAAAATGACACTGCTTCCATTGAAAAGAGTAGAAAAAAAGGAACGAGTGGAACCCCAAAACGTCAAATTGATGGGCCCGGAAAAGGCAAAACTGGTGAGAAAATAACTGGAGGATAGCTGTATTTGTTGCATAGTTTGCTTATATGAGAATGTTTATTAAGCCATCCTTGCTTTAGTCACTTCTGAAAGTTTACAAGAAAAAAAAATACTTCAGCAAATGAGCGTCCTTTTTCGAAATCAAACAGCAGTTAGAATTGTAATATGTATTTTTTGGTTAAGTTGACAGAATACCATATTTTATATACTTTTAGGGAAAGAGCACCTTTGTTCTTTTTGTGCGTCTGATAACTGCGGGGATAATCATATTTGTAGACCGGTTGGTATACGAAGTGCTGGCCATTATATCACGTCACAGCAAAATTGAATATCACCAATCAGGTAAGAGAGAGAGAGAGAGAGAGAGAGAGAGAGAGAGAGAGAGAGAGAGAGAGGAGTTTATGAAAGCATTTAGGACACGCCACACAGTTCTCTTAGAGCGCATTCAAAACAGCGGACTATCAGATCCGCAGATCAAATATGGTGCTTAAAAAGCTAGCCGCTTAATTCCCGATTCGACACTGAATAGATTCCCCGCGGGGCAGTGCCCGCGGGGATTACGCAACAAGCATTCAAGTGGATCGTCCATATTTGATCCACGGATCTGTTAGTCCGCTGTTCTGAATGACCTCTTACATATTGCTACTTTGATTACATAATTTCAAATTAGTTAAAACTAAGTCGTGAAAACTCATTTCGTGTTTTGCATATATGATAATGGCCTTTACAGGCCAAATACCAACCACATCCATCATGAGTATGTCTGTGATCTTAGGAACTAATTGCATATCACTCGGGACGGAGGAGAAAAAATATGGATTGTGTATAATGGTTAATTCGTTATTTTTTAGGAGAACACCACATTCAGCTGATCATTTATGGCAAAGGAGTTATTGGCCAGATGGTCAAATCCTTGTTGAAGGGGTTCAATCGCAAACATATCCTGGACAGCTACAGCACAAACTTTGGTTAGTTATACTTGTTCATTCATACATAAGTTAGTAACTTTTGTCTTGCTGACAATAACATTATTTCAGAACATCCGTTTGAAGCACCAAGAAATTCCTTGATAAAAAGGCAAAACAGAAAAAAATCAGTGCGTCCAAGTATTACCATTTTCCGAAATAATAAGTCATTTTATAGCACAAACTAGCAAGTACTAACATATTGATAATTGGGCCAGAGCAATTAAAAAATAATCTCTTTTCCAGAATGTCTTCCCCAGCCCAGTATGATGCCGAGTGATTACATATGGAAGATAGTCGCTGTATACCTGGCCGTCTGGTTCCTCATGTTCTTGGAAGCGTATGGGCTGAGGCTACGTCGCATAGTGGCATCGTTCTTTTATCCAAAGGTAGCTCACTATTTAACAAATCGAGGAAATGATCGAGTGGTGATAACTAGTTTTGGAACAAATAGGTAGTTGCTTTGAATGTCAGGCATCATTGCTGGGTGGTAGCGTGAGCAGACAAAGCCCAATATCCCCCCTTTCTGTGCAATGTCAAGACGCAACTATTATATAAAGTGTTTACCTTGGCATTATATAACTGCGCTAACAAAATGTTACGAAAATATCATTACAGCGAGTACTGCGGAATTATTAACTTGAAGAAAACTCTGTGGTCGTTCCCTCGCCTGTAGTACCGACAGCTTTTATTCCCAAATGACATTTCGAAAGAAACAAACGTTAATGTCCATTCACTTTTTCTATTCTAGCGAGAGAAAAAGCGCATCTTATACCTTTACAACGACATGCTCAAGAAAAGGAAAGGTTTCCTACGTCACATGCGCCACAGAATAAAATCCTTGGCAAGAGAAAATAAACTTTCGGTAAGAAATATACGTCAATTGTTGGGTTCACGTGTGTAGGCACCTCGTGTTGCAATTGCAGAGTACTGGAACCCTACATGTGGTGTATGTACCGTCTCTTTTGAAAACCTTTAGAGAGGAAGTAGTAGCATTTTCTTAATTCTGAAAAACAAAACATATAACGATTACCTATTCCATTTTTAAGGAACATACCAGTTATTGCGGCCGTATGAAAGTAGTATGTTCAATTCCTTATTTGCAATCGCCCGTCAAACAATGGGATTGAATTCACTTTATTCTTTTGTTTTGGGACAGATGGCCAATGTATTGGGTAGGCTTATAAATTGACATGCCATCTCTACAGTAAGAGTAAAGAGTTACACTACAGTACTTTTTTTGGAGAAAACTGTCCAAATTTTGAAGTACTTTCATAGTTGAAGAGTTAAAAGAAACGTATGGGTATGAAAGTGCTTGGTGAAGAAATCGGAATTCATCCAGCAATCGGTCTGTTGTCACTTACGTAATGTTTGTACACGCAACCTGTGAGTAAGAAAAAGCATGTCACACGGAAATCTTGTTGTCTAACAGGTGGTAAAATATTAGCCATACCTGCAGCAATGGCCCTGCTGTAAACTGAATAATCCATATCTTTATTTCAGATGAGGACAGACCTCTCAGTGGCCCTCATTAACCAGTTCCCCAGACTATGTAGCTGCCTTAAAGTTATGGGCATGGGCAAAAAACGTTGTCTTATCTGTGAAGAGCCCCAGAATAAAGAGTTCCATATTTGTGCTACTCCTGGTTGCAACTTCGTATATTGCAAACAATGCTGGAAAGATGTAAAGGTAATACAAAACAAGCAACAAATGAAATCAACAAGAAATTGTCTTTTTATTTATATTTTAACAATTTTGGTGCAAATGAAATGAGAACCACTACCCCCATGTTATATGTATAAGTTGATTATATAGTATGTTTTTTCTTTGCAGCACATCTGCTATGCTTGCGCTTCAGAAGAGGACTTCAGCAGCGACGAGTCGGAACTGACCGATACTAACATTTGGAGTGATTAAGAACACAGTGCATGTTTAGAGATTTCTATTCCTTTATAATACTAACAAACTGATGGAAAGTTTTACTGGCAGAGACTCCTATTTTTGTATCATTTTATTAGTATCTATGTGGCCATGCAGGATTTATTTACGTTAAGAAATAACGAATGTGAAATTAATTAGATTCCCTTCAACTACTATCTCTAAGGATTCTTAGAATACTGTGAATGAATAATCATGCAACTGCAGTACCAATTTATATTGTAATAAACTCTCTTAACAAAGTCACATTTTAGCTTTTTCCTTTTCCAACAAAATGTCTCCTTGCTGAAAAATATCTAATAACTTCTGATTGCGAGCCATGAAGTCTTTTGCCAGCCCACACGTGGCATTCACACACCCTGGGCACCGCAATGGTAACTGTTTAGAGCATGCAACATTCGACTGGAGGTGGCCTTTAACGAGATCAGCAAGGGCCTGCAAATAAAAGGTTATATATTTATCAAAAGTAAAACTAAAAACTGAAATATGCATGGCGTGCAACAATCCCCTACTTTAATATAACTGTGGTTCACAACTTATTACATGGACTTCTTTCATTGGTTTGAAAAAAATTAATCTACCCTATCAATTTAAATCATCGTAGTGTGATTAATAAAATAAAGTATCACTGACTTTTTACCAAAATAATTTGTCATAATGGTAAAAATCTTGTTAAGCCAATACAAAGATATGCATCCATTATAATTTTCCACATTTTCTATGCCCTTCTCTTTACTACCAAATATTACAAACAAAAAGTTAAAGTTAAAAAAATCTGTACCTGTATAAAAACTGGATGATCATTTAAAGCTGCTGCACGCCTGATCATCTTTACACCAGCCTGTAAAATATAGAGTAAAACAAGTTTTCATTTAGTATTTTTTGGAAATTCCCTTTTAGAGCATGCCATTGACATCTCTTTCATTAATCTTTATCTAAGTGCATCACCCAAAGACTCAGCAGGTCCATTTCTACAAAAGAAACTTGTACAATTAAACTGACTCTTGGGCAGCAGGCTTTATCTATTCATTGCAACATATATACAACAGGTCTCACCTCAGCAGCCAACGTCTGTCCATATTCCAGATCTAATTCAAACAGGGTTTCTATATGATCACTGGTAAAAGCTATGGGTACCAGCAGGATATTCTTATTACCCTTCTTTGCAAGTCCCTTGATGGCTGCATCTGTCTGTGGTGACAACCATGGTTGCGGACCAACCTAAGGACAAATATATGTTCATATTAATCATGTTTTTCATCAAGAACGGCCATCAAGAAAATTTTTTTGGCAAAAATTCAAATGCCTTATGAAAATCATGCTCATCTTCTTTTGATTTGTGAACTTGTTCTGTATCTATACCCTTTACACCATGTTTTTATATGGCTACTGTTCAAAAGATGGAATCGTTAACTTATGCATCACTGTCACAGTATCTATAACCTTTGACTGCCAAACAAGTCTATATGAGTGAGTATTGCCCAAGGCCTCCATCACTCTGTCTACAGTGGCTGCCACCTCATAAGGATAGGGGTCTCCTCTGTTTACAACCTGAAACAACAAGAGCAAAAATCATTTGATTTACTAATGATTCAAAGCAACTGGTGAACTTCACAAACTGCCAAAAATGTCTTCCTTAATGTAATAATAAAACACTCAATTAAAAAATTACATCAAAAGGTATGCATAAAACATTACTTAATACCCTTAATCTCTTCTTCATTCACTTAAAATGTACAGTTATATTAGTGTTTATTCCTTACTGTAAGTGGAAGAGAATGTGCGGAAAATAATATCACAACATCATCTTGATCTTCCTCAGGAAATTTCTCCAATTCAGCCTGGATGTTCAGCTTAAAAGCCTTAAAGTGAATAACAAAAGAATGTATACCAAGCAAAATGTGTATATAACTTTGGCATGTTGTTTACTTTTTAACTTCATTCAATTTTGTAATCAATTTTTATTGTTACACTGTAATGCAAAAATAATAAAAAATAAATACAACCAAACAACATGTGGTACATTGTTTTGTAAGAAAAAAAAATTTCCCAACCTCCACCAATCCTGGGTGTGTAGGCCACCTGTCCAGTGTACTCCAGACAATATCACTGGCTTGGCTCCTCTTGGCATAATGTCTATAGATGGCATTGATGCTGCTGCCAGTTGTGGAACAGCTGTACTGTGGATACTGAGTAAAAGCCACTGCTCTCTGAATTCCATCACTATAAAACAAATTTAATTGACTTTTAATAAATACTATAAACACAACCTTTATAATTTATGCCAAACTTTTCTTTTTCTGATCTTTTCATAAAAAATTTGTAATATTGATAGTTAATTCTTTATAATCTTAATCTAACTGCCTCTCACCTTTCCATCTGTTCAATGGCATCCTCTGTCAGTGGGTTTGCATATCTAAAGCCAATGTAATATTTGTGCGGGGCTGAAAATAAATAATGCTTTTTTAATGACAGGAAGTTAAGTTCTAGATTTACTGTGAGGAGTTTTGACACAGATTGTCTCCAAGAGAGGAAAAAAACTAAATATTATCTTTCACTTTCTTTCCATTACTTTTAATACACACACCATTATACAAGTAGAAAACCATCTCTAAAACCTGAAGCAATGCTGCAAATAAAAAGGAAATTTTAGTTTCATTGCCAGCACTTTGAACCTTTCTCATTTTAGTATTCCAATTTCTAATTACAGAAGCATCATATGTATGCTGTACCTACCTGTTTCAGGGGATATCTGGTCCAGTATCTTGACCATTCCCTCGCCTTGAATTTCTGTCCATTTCTTAATTGGTGAGCCTCCACCTATTTCTTTGTATTGCTCTATTATCTTTGGGGTCCTACGTTTTGCAATGAATTTAGCTAAACGGCTGAAAAAAATTATTTTAAAAAAATGAAATGAAATGCTTCATCCAAAGGTAAGAATATTTACAAAAGATCTGATACGTGTATATAATAAATCATTTTGAGATGCTTCATTAAACCTCTTATTTTCATTTAGACCAATTTGGTTATCTGAATACTTATCAAAGGAAATGCATTTATCCAATGATGTTCTATTACCTTTCACATTCTACAGCTTTACATCAATGTCAAACTACTGACCTCTGAGCTGGCAGGGGAATAAGGTCCTTATCACAGAAAAGGCGCAACAGAAAGTCATGGACATCTTCCAAAGTTTCTGGTCCACCCAAGTTCAACATCAAAATACCTGTTTTGGGATTTGGGCTGTAATAATAATAATAATAATAATAATAATAAAAAGACTGAAACAGTATACAGCTATGCATTCTATGCATCCATTAGAGACAAAATATACAGAAATAACCCAGTACTGTGTTTCCTAAAATTTAAGATTTCTTTTTTAAACCAGTTCTGTAACTGCAACACTATTTTACTACACAGATGGTAGATGTTGCCATTTAAAATGCTTTCATTAAGTCCTACTCATGAATAAATTAACTTTGAATGTTTTGTGAAGGAGGGGAAAAGGGACACTTAAAATTTGTGGGATTTTTACAGTTGTTAATTGATATATATATATATATATATATATATATATATATATATATATATATATATATATATATATATATATATATATATATATATATATATATACCCAATTCTCCTCAATCCTCCTCTACCCAATTATTTATAATTTACCCAGCATTCTCTTCGTGTGCTGCCTCCCCTGCTCCTGTACTGGTCTCCACACTCTGTGCCTTGCTGCTAGTGGTACAGACTCCTCTGGACAGGAACTGCTTTGCTACATGTCTCACTGAAAATAAATTAAGTTTATCAAAATGAAGTACACATTGGGAAAGAAATCATGCATGGAACAATTCCATCACATTGGTTTGAATTTAAGGGCTTATGTTTTGAGCAAGGTTAAATTTTGTGTAACATCAGTGACTAAGCCTGTTTAAAACACCACTAAGGGAAATATGATCCAGATTATTACAGGTTGTTCTCCATTGTCAAGCAGCTAGAGGCACTTGCAACTACAGTAGTCATGTGCACCTGCACAACCAATGATTATGTGACAATTTTATGGTTTACTTAATGTCAGCAATGGGATGATGATGTCCATATTATATAGGGTATATACCAGTATAGACACCCTTATCATCGTGACATTACTACCGACACATATCTTTTGAAATAAGTTCATATGTAGAATATAATAATATTCACACAAATTTTAAGTCTAAACTACATGCAGGTTTTGTGAAAAAATATTTCCATAAAATGTTTTTGTTTCAAGCTTTTAAACATTAACGTACCGTTTGCTTTATAGAAAACACAAAACTGGTGTAAATGCTGTTACTGTCACAAATATGATGTACTGCCAGTGTCAAAAGCAACAGGCAAGTCTAGTGTAAGACAAGCTGTGGCCTTCACTACAGTATTTCAGATTTCATAACTTCATGTGTTAACAGCCGGCCGGCTGCTGCATCCTGATAAAGTCCCTTTCATCGGATCTTTGGCGTATTGCAATCATTTTCTCAAACTGAGCACGCTAGCACAAAGCTAATGTTATGCCATAACTTCACCATAACCGATTTCCATTAACATACTTACCAGAGAATAAACACCATCGCGGAGATATTCCAACAGACATGCTGGCTGTCACGACCTATATTTTTCTGACGCTTGGAGCGCTGCAAATCAAGACATCACACAGCCCTAATAACCAGCTTTGAAAAGTATATATAAATGATTTAAAGCAGCCCATGTCGTTTACTTAGTGCAATCTTAGAAAGAGTAAAGTCATTCTGAAAAGCCCTTCCAACAATTAACAAGGATCCATGATGTGCACAGAAATAAAGTTACATAACAGCCACCTGGTGGTAGACTCCATCAACATTATGCAACTCATAATATAGTCTTACAAATGAACTTTTAAAATGGATTTAATCGGTCGTGTTCTATTTAAATATCTCAATATTTTTGGTCTGGTTTATCGTGGCACTAGGTAAAAGGAAATGCTGATTGGATCAACTTATCGGATCCATTGTACGATCACTGCCATAACTTTATTCTTGTAATTCAGGGCACATATTGTATGGTAACAATAATAATGGTACCTGTACATGCTACTAATTTCTCATGGTATATTTTCTGTTTAACATAAAATAGAATGGAGGGCCATATATGTGTTGAGCAAAGAATGAAAATCCACCACGAAGGCATCTTAAACATCACTGATTGCATTTATTTTAGTTACTTTGACAATATTCCATTTAAAATATTGAACAATGATATTACAATGATAATATCATTTGTCCATACTTAAATGTACATCCAGTACTGAGGTACTTTTGTAATTGTGATTGTAAACAAGTGAAAAATACAGATATTTGTACTAGTACCATTCCAAGTTATTGTTGTCAGATTAGTTTAAAATGCAAAAGACATGCTGATTGTACCATATTCTTTAAAGGGAAAGTTTACTACGCAAGAGAATTAATTGTATCCCGTTCACAAACAAAAACTCAAATTATGAAGTATATAACATAAATAAAATGTTTTTCTCCAATATGCAGTACTATTCATATGAACCATATCTTAATGCTGATGACACAAACTGAATATAAAAGAAAGAATCATACTTTCCTTACAGGATCAAACTACATTGTACATGTACTACCTATGGGTAAAACTAAAGCAATCATTATTGATTTTTTTGTCCTGAATTCTTGATTTTTTTTATCACAGGGACCAGTGATTTCTTTCATAACAATGATAAAAATCTTAAATAACAAGTTCTTTTCATTTAATAAAGTGCAAGGAAATAGATGTTATCTTGATACAGTAACAATAAACTCAGTTTGATATTGAATATAAATTCGTCAATCTACATTTAACAAAACAAAATCTATCCTGAAGATACAGGATTTGCCATATACCGTGGCTACCCAACAGTCTTTGTCAATTCATCCCACTGCAAATAAAATAATGGACACACCATAAAAAAAGTGGCTATAAATATGTGCAATAATTGCATGGAAGCCTATGGATGTGTTATACAATGTTTCATATAGCTAAGTCACATAATACAGGAATGTTACCTATGATAAGCAAAATCCCACAAACACCAATTTTAAGTCCTTTACATTGGGTAGATAAGAAAATCAATACAATATGTAGCTACATGTCAATAGAACCTCTTGAGGATTAATACCTTTTTCTTTTATACCAATAGATTTCTAAGTCTTATCATATACTGAAAATGGATATCAAATAACATATATTATTTGAGTGATTAACTTTGGAAAAACCTATAGTTGGAATATTCCCAAAGTATAGATTCAAGTTGTGCATTACTGAGGAACTAATTACATTGATAATTTGATTTGGGGTCAAATTGACGATCTATTGGGGCAAAAATATTTTGACAAGCCCCCTAGTTTGTGACAGTGCAATGCGATAAGTCTTATTTTCCTGTGCGTTTCACAAAGTAATGCAGGAAAATACCTGATCAAATTGTACAATGTAAGTGACCTTATCATTATATAAAAGCAGTCTATTGAATTACAAATGTAATTTTACAATTCATTCAAAATTCACAAAATACACCCTGGCAGTGGAGTTAAAATTTAACCTGCAGGGGATGCTAAATTTGACTTCCATTAAAGCTGCATGTCACATAATTATTTCAGAACCTTATTGCAATATCATGAGCCTGCTGCTTAGCTAATCACAGCTTTTCATATACAGGAACTGGATGGTTTTAGCAAAAGTTGCTTCAATCACAACTGTTATGTTTCCAATTTNCCCTGGCAGTGGAGTTAAAATTTAACCTGCAGGGGATGCTAAATTTGACTTCCATTAAAGCTGCATGTCACATAATTATTTCAGAACCTTATTGCAATATCATGAGCCTGCTGCTTAGCTAATCACAGTTTTTCATATACAGGAACTGGATGGTTTTAGCAAAAGTTGCTTCAATCACAACTGTTATGTTTCCAATTTCTTTGAATGGCATACATGTTATAAATCATCATGTCCAGGCATAGGGAAGGTAAGAGCAAAGGCTTCCACTTGCTCACGTAGAGCTTTGATCTTCTCATGCACAGCCGGGTCTTCAGCAAGCTTGGCCTTGAACTCTCTCAGAGTTGGGCCACATTGAGACTGGATCTCTGTGGTCAGCTGAATGCCTGAATTTCAAATAAGAGAAATGTAGCAAATACAACAAGGTCAATCAAACAGCAAATTTCATTTGGAAAAAAAAAAAAAAGGATTATAGCATGTTCTAAGAATTGTTGGTAATATAGTACAGATGCACAGGTTTTATTTTCCTCTTTTTTTAAGTTATGGAGTAACTAGAGCTTGAAAAACTCACAAATATCAGAAACAGAACACAAAATCTAGAACAAAGATAGAATTTTATGAAAAAATAATATAGGACAATTAAAAATTTTCAAGTTAATTTCTTACCCAAATGAATGAACTCGGCAACTTTCTCAAAATCTGTTTCTTTCAGGTTCCTTGATGTGAGTGCAGGCGTCCCCAGCCTCAGTCCACTAGGGTTTAAAGCACTCTTGTCACCTGGGCAGGTATTCTTATTAACAGCAATACTGATCTCTTCCAGCACCTTCTCTGCACGGGAGCCAGTGGTCTTATTAGGACGGAGGTCAAGCAGTATCAAGTGATTGTCAGTTCCACCTTTAAACAGACAGTGTTTCATAAACAATATAATACAAATAACTACAATGAAGTTTAAAACAAAATAATTTATGTCCATTGAAAATTTTAGGAAAAAAAAAATTAATACATATGTATCTCATCCATTTAACCCCTTATGTCTGAGCAAAATTATATATATTGTAAATATTTAAAAATTTTATGATGAACAATTCCTGAGAAGCGTTGCATGATTTATCCACCTTTACAATATGTATCATTTTACCTGAAACAACATGGTATCCTCTGTTGATAAAGTGCTTACACATGGCCTGACAATTCTTTATAACCTGTTGTTGGTAAATCTTAAATTCTGGCAGTGCAGCTTGCTTTAAGGCAACAGCAACAGCTGCAAAGAAACAGAATACACCTCTTATAGTCACACAAAATGAAACCATGATCCCTTATAAGTTTCACAAATAATTCTTTTTCAAAAGGCATCCGACTCTACAGATATAAACTTAAATAAAATTTTCAAGGAAACAGATTTACGGACTAGATTACAGTAATACTGTTCTATTTACTAATATTTTTACTGAAAATTTCAGAAATTAAGTTCGCCCTATCCAAAAACAGCACAATCAGCATCACTTTATAACAACTCAATAATGTAGTTGGGTAAATACTGTTCATTGACTGGTTTAATAACATGAAATCACTAATTACCAGCAATGGCGTGATTGTGTGGTCCACCCTGTAGTCCAGGGAACACTGCATCATTGATCTTCTTCTCAATATCATACATGACATTCTGCCCATTCTTGTCCACTCTTCTAACACCTGAAAGAAATTCATGTTACTTTTCATTAATCAGATAAGTTAAGAAAAATCTGATTCCTATCATATATGTTTAACTCCACTTGATCTGACAGGTTTAAAGCTGTCAGAGAAAGTATTTTAAATATTTCATTAACAAAAAAATTGATTGAATGAGTTTAAATTTTCTAAAGGAAAACTACAAGTCAGTTTATTTAATTCAGCAATAGTATCAATCTAAAACTTGTCAACATACCTTTTCTAAAGAAGATCAACCCAGCCCTGGGACCACGGAGTGACTTGTGCGTTGTTGTTGTGACAATGTCGCAGAATGCAAATGGACTGGGCACTACTCCAGCAGCAACCAAACCACTGATGTGAGCCATGTCTGCCAGGAGATAGGAATCATTCTCATCTGCTATTTGGCGGAATCTTTGATAGTCCAAATTTCTGGAGTAGCAGCTGACACCTGTGAAGAAATATCCAATACAAGTCATGCATCTTCTTGTGTAAGACCTTCCTCTTATATTGATATTATAGTTACTCTTAATAAAAAACAGAGCATGACACTAAGAAATCTATTCTCAAACCATATTATCATAAAGGAAAGTGCATAGGAAAGTGCAATTTTAAAAAATACATCCTGTAAAAGAGTGTAGTTCAATTTTAAAACTGTTTACTTGAACACGTACAAAAATAAATATAAAGAATATGAATCCTCTCACCTGCAATTATCATTTTGGGCTTGAACAACTTGGCATTCTCCTGTAACTTGTCATAGTCTATCAGCCCGGTGACTGGGTCAACTTTGTAAGGCATAGATTCAAAGAAAATAGAAGTGGCAGATATCTTCTTTGATGAGGTCATAAAACCATGACTGAGATGGCCTCCATCTGGTAAGTCAAGACCCATGATTCTTCCATGGGGTTCCACCAGAGCTGTATACACTGCAAAGTTGGCTGGGGACCCTGAGAGAGGTTGGACATTGACTCCCCATTCCTCAGGTTTCAAGCCAAATGCTTCTAATGCACGTTTCTGGCAGAGACGCTCCACTTTGTCAATAATTTCATTACCACCATAGTATCTATATAAAAAAAAGTAAAAATAATAAATATATAAATAAAATAAAGTCAGGGAACATTTTTATATACATCATGTTGTCTAACTATTTTTTTCTAAGATCTAAACCCTTACACTTACAAAAAAAAGGGAAAAATACATGATTATACAACAGGCAAGTTACCTAGTTTTTAAACCTATAACTCAGTCAAAGTCAGGTGGGCTGATATGATAACACTATTTGTCCTAAATGCATCAAGGTCAACAGCATTATATAAGAACTTCTCTTCAGAGACCTACACAACCAAGTGCATACATATAATTTTACTTTATAAGGCTATACCTAATTCTCG